TCTGACTTTTTGCGTAACTGCTATTTGGTTATACAATTTCAAACATATGACTTATTAAGAAATTACATAGTAAGTTTATACAAAATTGGATCCCAGTATTATATGTATTCTTCGGGGTCCTGGTTCCGCAGATTCTGCAGTTTTTTTTTAAAAATGGGCGTAATCAACATTTCTATAAAAAAAGGTCAAAAACAAATATATGGATGAATGATCCATCTATTTAGTGTTACGGATAAACGTACAATTGAACAATTCTACAATGATTTACCTTTAGGCATTTTATTTGAAGAAAATCGAGAGTTGGAAGTTAAAGTTTTTTTGGGAGACAATATTCGTGATATCTCTAATGGAGTAGCTTTAAATTGTCCAATTGCTGATACTACCAAGAGTTTTGGTGAATGTATTGAACTCCGGTTGCAAGATATACCTACTATACAACCGTCAGCTGGAAAAAATGCTTTTAATATTTTATTACAAGAATCAAGTCAGCTTTATTTACCAAATATGAAGGAGAATGGTAATGAAAAAGAGTGTATGAAATTTAATTTTGTTAATTATTTTCAAGAAAATAATGCAGGATGGGTTGGAAAGGATACTGCTGAAAGTCTTGGACGTGAATTCATTAAACATATAATGGAAGCAATTTGGTATATTGATATGTGTGGTGTTAAAAAATTTAAAGATCGAGGATATAGCATTCCTACATCACTGAGTATTTTTTTTGAATATGCTAATCCAGCATACAAAAAAAAAAGACCTGATTTTAAAAAAAAAGTATTAAATGGGCATATAAGTAATTTAATAACTTATAAAGAAGCAAAATGGTTTAACAAATCCTCATTTAATTGGTTTAAAAAAACATTTATTGAGTTTTTAGATTCTTTAATATCATACGTATTGTATTTAGATAATCAGGCAAGGGTTATGAACGAAAATCATGCTTTGGATAAGCCAGTCCGCTCTATTGCAGATTCTGGAACAACTACAATTTATAATGCTAATAAATTTCGCTCAGGAGATATTATAAAAAAATATGAACCATTGGTTGATGTTTTACAAAAATTG